GGTGCTAGTGGTGTCCCCAGGGATTCAGGACGTCTCATCTGGAAAGTTCCCGTGAACGTCCCTTCCCTTCCCTCTGCTGCTCCGTGTGGTGCGGAGGCACGGACAGAGCTCGGCGAGGCCACCCCGCCCGGCCACCACCACTGAGCCGGGCCAGGCTCTGTCCCCCCATCTGCAGCGAGGGGACGTCCTGGTCTGCCGGCTGCTCCCCCTGCGTGGAGAACGCGGAGAATGTCCTTGGGCCACCGTGCACCCGGGAAGCGGAGTCCCACGCCAGCCTCTCCTGCACTGAGGGGTGCTGCAGACTCTCAGAGCTGCCTCCCACTCAGCTGTGAACAGGCCCCGGGGCTCCCACCCACCCTCACCCAGAGTCTCCATCACAGCGGGAAGCCACCCCAAGGCGGGGGCGCCTCGGTCGGCCGCTGCGGCCGGTCTCCTCCCATGAGCTGTCCTGCAGCAGGAGACGGCTGGACCCAGCCACGCTGGCCTTTAGTGTCCGAGGTCGCTGGGCAGAGTCGGGCCTGTCTTCCACTGGGTGGCATCCTTGCTGGGAGGGCTGTGGGAACCATCGGTGGTTTTTCAGAAGAAACGTGTTTTCCACGGCGAGGCCGGCGAGGACGTCAGGTGGCCCGGGCTGAGCATCCACACCGGCCACAATGGCGGCCACGGTGTTGGAAACGCCCTGGGCTCTGCCACGGGCCGCCTGGCTCTGCGTCCTCGCCTCGGCCACCAGCCGCGGCCCGGCAGAAGCCCCTTCAGTGCTGTGTCGTCTGGCTGGCTGGGTCCCCTGGCCCTGTTGGGTCCTGGCCGGATGGAGGGCCCCGGGGATGACCGTGGGCCTCTGTGTGGATTCTGAACTCGGGCCTTGTAGCCTCTGTGGTGCTGGGGAGGCCTGGGCTCCCGTAACCTTCACGGGACCCTCTGGGGCGGGACTTGTGCAGCCGAGGAAACAGGCCGGAAGTGGGAATGTTTGCCCGCACGCCTAGTCGGGGGGGCGGCGATCAGACCCAGGGCTGTCCGGACGCCCCTCCTGTGTCACGCGTGCGTGCAGCTCCCAAGTCCTGGACGCCCTGAGCTGGGGAAAGGTGCACACCGCAGCCTCCGTTGGCCTGCCCTGCCCCCCGCCCCCAGCGCCTCCCACGCTCAGCACCGCCCTTCCCATCCTGGCTCGCCCAAGTCTCCCACCTTCTCCTATGCATCCCGTGTCTGTGTGGCCACGAGACAAGGGGTGTCCGCCCCAGTGGACTCCCTGTGCTGGCCTCTTGGAGCGGCCTCCCAACGCTGCCCTCGCCTGCCATCGGTCCCTGTGCCCTGTGTCAGGCACCGTGAGGTTCTCACTGCAGAATGGTAAGGCCGGGCCTCCAGTGCACCGACCAGGCGGTGGCAGAGCTCTGTACTTACCCACGGCTCCTGAGCGCACTCCGTGCGCTGGGGACAGGCCCTCCTGGTGTCAGCCTGGGCTGCCTCTGTCTTCAGATGTCAGGCCCTGCGGGGGGAGGGCCACCGGTCCCCCAGTTTCCAGCCCTTTCTGTGGGCACTGAGCACCCCCCACCCCTACCTGAAGAGGGCTTGTCCGAAAACGACCTTATGCTCTAGAACGTTCTCAACATTTCTTTGGGTTGAGCCTCAGGAGGCTGTGGGTGTAGTGGTGACCCCCTGAACTCGGAGGCTGAGGGCTGGATGGTCCCGGCTCTGCTCAGCCACCGGGCGGCCTGGCGCTTCAGGGGAGGGGTGATGCCCAGAGTACCGCGGTCCAGGACCGCACGCAGTGGGTGCCCTCTGCAGGGGGAGGATGCCCAGCATGTCTCCATCTCTGTGGCATGAACACCAATTGTACATCGACGTCCTGCTTTGACCCCGACCACGCCTCTTAGTGGCCACAAGCAGGTTACGACCTCTCCCTGGCCTGCACACCTCCCTGTAGAGTGGAGACTGGTGGCGACCCCAGGGTCACGGAGAGAGCTGATCCTTCGAGGCGCTGGTCTTAGCAGCACTGGGGACGTCTGAGCTGAGCTCACCTCTTCCCAGATCAGGCGTCTGGGCAGCTGCGAGGGCCTGTTTGCAGAGGTTCCAGCCCCATCTCTGATGATGGGGCGGGGGGCGGGGGGTCATTCAGGGGCTGGTGGCTCTCCCTCTGCGTCTCAGTGGGAAGCAGACGAGGAGCCTTCTGGGCTGAGGTGAGGATGTGGGCAGTTTGGAGGAAGGTAGGGAGAAGCCCAGGTCGAAGACACGGAGAACGTGGTGCTGACCGACCGCTCTCCTGTTGGGGAAACTGAGACCCCGAGGTGGTGAGACTGGTCTAAGAGCATGGGAGGTTACGGGTGATGTGGATGTGGAACGGGACTCTCCCGAACCGCCCCATCAGCCCTCCACCCTCCACCACCGTACTTGGCAAAGGTCATCACTGCTGCCCCCGCCATTGTCACTATCCACCCCACCATCACCATCACCACCACCATCGTCACCAAGCTGTGGGATGTGTAGGACCCAGCCTGGGTTCCATTCCTGCTCCTGTGATCCCAGTCTAGGCATTTGCTTGCCCCTCGAGCCTGCTTCCTCGTCTGGGGATGAGGGTAACCGTGCCCTTGTCTCACGGGACTCTCGCGAGGTTGAGGTGGGCCTGAGCGTTTTGGGTTTCTGCTGCTGCCCGGGCCCGAGCACATTCTCACCGTCGCTGTCCTCCTCCCTCCTCTCTCCATACCAGGTGTCGGGTCTGTGGTCGACCCATCCTTTCCGCGTCCCAGGTGATGGAGGAGGCCGTTTGAATTTAACCAGACCAGGCTTGCTGCTCTGCCGGTGGAGAGCATGTCCCCGTTTTCTGAATGTGCGGTGCTTCACAGGACTTAGTGGTGGCGCAGCCATGTCCAGTTGTGGAGTGCGTACACTGTGCAAAGGCCGTGGGCAGCAGGCCAAGGGGACAAAGTCCAGACTGCTCTCTACCTGCCGGGCTGGTGCTGGCTGCTGGAAGGCTGGGCCGCCACCTCCTTCACTTGGGGTGCGTGCTTGAGGAAGCGGGTGCCCTTTTCCAATTCGCGTTCAGGTTCTACTTTTTGGAGTGGATTTTCATTTCTAATTCACGCGGAGGTTGACAGGGCCCTGTCTGCTGGTTTTATGTTGTTCAGCCAGCACTTGGTTGGGAAAGAAGCAACTCATTGGCCCTTCTCACCAGGCCCCAGGTTCAGGCACGACCAGTCCGGGGACTTGACCCATGTCAGCTACTCCCTCCTTAGGTTTCACACACTCAGTTCTGCCGACAGCCCCAGAGCCTCTCCAGGTGTGTGTGTGTGTGTATGTGTGTGTGTGTGTGTGTGTGTGTGTGTGTTGGGGGGAAGGGTGGGGGTGCAGTGAGCCCGGCTCAGACAGTACCCCTTGCAATCCCGCCTTGGGGACATCTGCCTCGAGCACGTAGAAACCCCAGTGCAGGATTCTGGTTGGCTGTGTGCTCGTCGTGTGGACCCGTCACTGGCCCGGGCTGGATGAGGTCACTGTCGGCGGCCAGGGGAGGCGCAGCTGCCTGGAGGAGGTGCCGGCTGGGGTCTTTGAGCGGCTTGCGGGACATGGAATGGTCAAAGGGTTTCCTGTTAAGAGTTCAGAGTCATTTGGGGAAATTTGGAAATGTCAACATGATTCAGGCACAAAGACCCACCTTCTTTTCTGTCTTCTCCTTTCTCTGGAACAGGGCAGCACCCTGAGAAAACGCAAGATGTACGAGGAGTTTCTCAGCAAGGTCTCCATCCTGGGTCAGTGGCCCCCACGCCGCGCGCGAGCCTGTGCCGGTAGCTTCCATCGGTCTCATCTGAGTCCTGCCTGCTGGGTCCAGCCATTTCCATGTTCCCCGTGTGCCTGGAAGGTTCAGCCCTCTGGGTGACGCGTGGGTTTGGGACAGGCATACGTGTGAACCCTCACAGGCATGGCTCACACGTATGCACCCACGCGGGCATGCTCGCACGCACGCTCCCACGCGTATGCACCCGCGAGGTACAGTTGCACACGTGCATGTGCATATACTCACCCAGGCACGTTCACACACGTGTGCACACACAGCCACACTCACACGTGCGCATGCGTGTGTCTGTCCACGTGCACCGAGAGCTCTGTGTCTGATCCGCCGGGCGCGGTCATCCTCTCCTGGGCCGTCTGTGCCCTCGTCCCGCGTGCTCCGCCTGTCCGTCCCTCTGCTTTCGGTGTCCCCGCCAGCCCTTCCTCCGTATCCGTCAGTTTCGAGACCCATTTCGTGTTCTAGTAAGCGTGGTCCCCAGTGTCGAGCGTTCCCGGGCCTGATGTGTTCTTTTTTCCCAAGCGGGTTTCCCCGGTGCACTCACTGCCCTTTCTCGCCCTGTGGTCTGATAAACACGTTGGCTGCATTTCAGTCGATTTCCAGCACTGTCAACAGAACTCTCACCAGCAAGAGTCTTCAGTGTTTTGGAGTAGCTGTGACATACACAGGGGCCACCGTTTGCAGCCGGCCGATCCCGTCACGGAGAACCTTCAGCCGTGGTGACGGTCCTTTCCGCGTTGAGCACTTGACCTGTGGCTGGTGTGCCCGAGGAACCGAATTTTAATTTTGTCCCATTTTAATCAATTGAAATGCAAGTACGGCGGGGCCCCGCTTGGGAGGGCGAGGGACAGCTGAGTGCCGAGCCTCCGGGAACCTCTGGAAACCACTGTCCAGCAGCAGCCCTCATGGCCTTCTGGGTGAGGATGGGGAAGAGCGTGCTGGGGCAAGGAAGGAAAAGAAGCAAACAAAACCCACTGCGTGTGAGTCCAGCACTGGGGCTGAGGCTCGCGGATGAGGTTACAGGATCGGGGCGCTCCCCTCCCTGCGCGGTGTGAGCCCGTAGGGACGCCGGGCTGACCCGGCACCGGAGCAGCCCTGGCTCCCAGCTGGGCTCCCCTCTGCCCGGGGCCCGCTGTCCAGGCTGCAGAGACAAGGGTGGGGGGTGCCCGCCGCCTGCCCTTCCAGCGGAGGACTGGGGGGCAGGTCAGGAGGAAGCCCCACCCGCACCCCCTGCACCAAGTGTGGATGCGTCGGGGGAAAGGCCACCGCGGCCGAACAGACTGGGACTGGGATAGGTGCCGGAAGTTACCAAGAAAAGCTGAGAGCCAGCCACACACGGAAGGAACCCAGTTAGGAAGAGAGCACGGCCACAGAAACAGAAATCAAATCCAGGACAGGGTTCGTCTAGGACACACGTCCGCCCAGAGAGCAGCGGCCTGAAGAGGGAAGAGCTGGAGAGACGCGTTCCGGCCAAGCCTCGGAGGTCCGCAGGGTCGCGGGAGGAGCAGGCACAGCGGTGCCCCCCACCCTACGGCCTTCGGGAGTCTCTCGCGAGGGCGCAGAGAGAGACCGCGGTGTTCGGCATCCAGGCAGTGGAGACGGCGTGAGGCCTGCCACGTCCTCTGGGGTGGAGGGCAGTCAAGCGAGTGACCAGAGCTGCGGGCAGGCAGAAAGCAGCAGACGGTCCCGGCTCAGCAGGGCCTGCGAAGCCATCTTGCTGGGTCCTGGGACGTCGTAGCCGCGGGGAGGGAGGCGGAAGTCAGGTTGGGCGCCCTGTGCAGGGCACTGGCGTTTTATCAGTGATGGCTACGGTCAACCACGCTTCCCTAATAACAAACTAAAAATTTTAAAACCTTAACAAACGGATCTGAAGCAATCGTGACAAAACCTTCGCGTGATTTTGCGCAGGACGGATGTTGCTGGGTTACGTCACGTGCGCTACTGTCTCGATAACTTTTTTTCCAAATGACGGATGGACGAGATCGTGCGCGGAGCAGGTCCCCGGGGAGGGCACGTCACCGAGCCCAGGAGAGCGCCCGGGGGTGTAGCTGCTGCGGGTGGAGGAAGGGCAGAGCCACACGGAGGCATTTGATCGATCGAGGCAGGGCACGAGGCAGCCCCCGCCAGGCCCCAGGCGCCCAGAGCAGGAGGGCCAGCGCCCCGGAGGCAGGCTCAGAAGACCCTGGATGGGATGGGTGTGTCTGCTCCTTCTCAGCCCACACCGGGGAGCGAAAACCAACACGGGAGGGAGGCCAGATGGGGCCACCTGTTCCCGCGACACGGAGCCTGCCTGCAGTTCAGGGTGTCAAGTCGACCCACGTGAAATGGCCCGTTTTTGGGGCGCCTGCATGGCTCAGTCGGTTAAGCATCCGACTTCAGCTCAGGTCATGATCTCGCGGTCCGTGAGTTCGAGCCCCACATGAGGCTCAGTGCTGACAGTGCAGAGCCTGGAGCCTGTTTCGGATTCTGTGTCTCCCTCTCTCTCTGCCCCTCCCCTGCTTGTGCTCTGTCTCTGTCTCAAAAATGAATAAACATCAAGAAAAATTGAAATGGCCTGTTTTCTACCCCTTTGGACCCAAAAAGTGGGCGTTCCATCTGCATCAATGTGTGTGAAACCTGACCACTGAGTCAGTGTTTTTCGTGATCTCTTTTAGGGGAATGTTTGGGAAAAGAAAGTATCTTACCTCGAAAGAGACAGAGAGAGAGAGACTCTTGGTTTCTTTGCCTGGTGTTAAATTCAGGCAGAGTAAACTTTAAGACTTTACGTTGGAAGCGTCTGGTGGTCGTGTTTGTAAAAGCATCCGTGACCGTCTTCTGTCCACCCTCCCGTCTGGATCTACGACTGGAGAGGCACTTGGCCAGGCGATGTGACGTAGGGTGGCATTCGGCACTTTTTCACATTCTTTACGCTTCGTTCCGTTTCTTGAGTTATTTGTAGCGAATCTGAGTAACTTAAGCAAAAACAATCAAGTAGGCCTGCCAGGGAGGGCGCCGCAGGACGTCTGACCCCGGGGTTGGGGCGCCTGCCACGGCGCGACCCCACACCCTCTGAGGTCCCGCGAAACGAACAGAGAAGGGTCTCGTTTTCCTCGTGCTCCTGTGGTAGAAGTGCATCCGCTGTCCCAGAGTTTTTCCCTTCGGGGCGTCTGCGCTCAGGGTTGTGCCCCCACCCCCACTCCCTGGTTCCAGAACCTTCTTGTCGCCCCCGGGGGAGGCCCTGTGCCCACGAGCCCGTCTCTGCAGGTGCCTGGTCTGGGCGCGTCATACGAAGGGGTGCTGTGCTGATGGGTCAGTGTCGCACTCGGCGACACGAGACTCGGCAGCCTCGTGGGCGGGTCCTCGGGGTCTCACGGAGGCTGGGAGGAGGGGTGTTTTAGCCCCACGAGAAATCCCCGGGCCTGGGGCCCCCTGGTCCCTCACCGTCTCCCGTTCCCTCGGAGCCCAAGCGCCCCGGTCGCCTTCCGATCCCTCCTGCTCTTACTGTGTGCCAGGCGCCCTCAGTGCTCTGCTCAGCTGCACGCGGAAGCTTTGTTCCCTCCGATGAACCCACCGCCAGCTAGCGCTTCTCCGTGGCCGTCGGGCAGAGCGACCCCAAGACTGACCCCTTGGCCCTCAGTCACCCAGCTGCACGGAGCCCTCCGGCATTGGAAGGTGGGGGGGCCTTGGTCTCGGCAGCCTGCCCCCGGCATGAAGGAGCGTGGGCAGCCACGGTGCGCCCGGGGCCCGGGGGTTCTGGTTTCTGCGCACGGACATAGGAGTCGGCCCCTGGGGGGCACTGAACGTGGCGGAACCCCGGGGGGTGTGAGCACAGAAGGCACCCCGGCCTCCCTGTGTCCTGCTTGCAGGCCACACGCCTGCTGGCTCTCGGTCTCCGGCTGCAGGACGTCTGTGACGGCGGAGGGACGCCTGCCTCTGTTTGCATTCTGTGCGGGTGCAGCGTTGACCGTCCCGCTCGGGAAAGGGACCGTGCTGCCTGGAGGGTCGGGCTGTGCACAGCAGAAGAACCACTGCCGGGGCTTGTTTCCTGAGTTGCCTCAGAGAAGAGCCCGTTCAGTAATCGGGGCCCAGGAACCGCCGTCTCCTGGCATCTTCTGACGGGACGCAGCTTCGCGAGTCGACGTTCAGGCCTCGGAGCGTCACATTTCAGGTGTAACAAGAGAAACCCGCTGAAGAGACACATGGGGACAGACGTCCCCCCAGCAGCGTGACCCGTGGCTCTCGCTCGGAACCCACGGGCAAGACCTCCACGTTGGCCGGCCGGCCGGCCTGCCCGCACCCACTGGTGCCCGCACCCCTCGTGCCACTCTGAGGCCACTGCTCTGTTCGGTCCCCGGCGGTGGATGTGCGGGGCTGCGTGGGAACGCCCGGCTTCTGACTCCCCAGCGGCCCCTCCGGCCTTGCAGACCTTTCCAGGCGGGCCGGTGGGGCGCGTGCACTGACGGCTCCCCGAAAGCCGGTCCTATGCCACGAGAAGCACTGGCGGGCGTCTTAAAGTGGAGAAATCCCGCTCCTAACCTAGTTCTAAAATAAATGCTTTGCTTTGTATTTTTAGCCGCTGACCCACTTAAGCAGCATCTGAGGAGTCTAGGCCGGGGAGGTTTCTTCTGCCGAGAAAGAAATAGTTAATCAGGCAGTCGTTATTTTCTTACAGAAGGAGCGTATGGGGCGTATTGGGTGTTTTTTCCCTTCCTGAGGGCGCTAGGGATGGACAGTGACCAGGAAGGGGAGGTGTGGGGAGGGGCGGCAGGGGACACGGAGCTTGCAAAGCTGTGCCGAGAAGCGTGAGATGGAATCAAGTGTGTTGACCTGAAATAACGGGAGGCGAGCCATGCCGAGCCTCGCAGCCGAGCGGTGACGAAGCGTCTTCCCGGCCGGTGGTGGTTCCGAGCAGACTCGCGTCAAACCGCATCGTGGCCTCAGTGCTCGGCGGGCGTGCTGGCCGGGGCCCCCCACGGGCCCGACTTAGTGCTGCGGCGCCCAGGCCCTCCCAGCGCACAGACGCGCCCCGGGTCCCTCGCTGCCGATCCGCGGCACTTGGCTGAGCGAGCGCTCGGGTGCAGGGCAGGGGCGAGGCCGCAGTGACGGTCCCCTTGTCGCCCACTCTAGAGTCGCTGGAGAAGTGGGAGCGCCTGACCGTGGCTGACGCCTTGGAGCCTGTGCAGTTTGAGGACGGAGAGAAGATTGTGGTCCAGGGGGAGCCCGGGGACGATTTCTTCATCATCACGGAGGTGAGTGGCCGCCCTCACGGGGGCTCCGTCCGCATCGCTCCCGTGTGCCGACCCCGAGCCCCCCGCCCTCTGCCCCGCTAACGGCCTCACACCGTGCCGTCGTGTCTTCTCGCCCCGGAGAGTCGGAAGCGAGACTCTCCTCTTGGAAAACAGCGTCGGGTCCCCAGGCGTGCGGTGCCCCGGGAGGACGTTGTGCCGGACTGAACGCGAGCGTGTGCGCAGTGCGGGTGGAGAGTCGGAACCCACGTCGGGACCCTGGGTGGCGCGGCACCCCAAGCTCTGTGGCGCGTTGTCACTGGCGGACAAAGATGTCTGTGGCATCTTTCCGTGCTGTCTCTCACGACTATGCGCCCATCTACAAGGACCTCAAACGAAGACGTTGGTTTTTAAAAGAGGCTCCCGGTTCCCAGGCTGGAGGCGCGTGAGTCATTTTTACGAGGCCCGGCGACAGCTGGCGCTGGGGCCGTAATCCGTGTCGGCCACACTCGCGCCTGTCACTGACAGAGGCAAGCAGCTGCTGTGGCTGCCCGTCCCCAGGGCTGTGCCGGGCTGGGACCCCCGGGTGAGCCCCCACCCAGACGCTGCCCGGAATGAATGGGGGGCCCGCCTCGCGGGGGGCAGCACCGATTACGCGGGGCCACAAGTATGCCGCCGCCTGCTGGGCTCGCTTCCTCCTCCCGTGGCGCTCAGGGGCGGAAGGATTTCACGTTCACGCTCGTTAAAACACATTCTTCAGCTGTGCATCTTGCCGCCGGAGAGAGGGAGGCCTCGGCAGGGCAGCGTGGGGGCCCGGCGCTGTCCGGAGCAGGCCGTCCACGCTGGAGTTTCTGCACGGCCAGCAAAGTACGCCCTGCTCGGCGCCAGTGGCCACTTTCTGGGTCCAAAACAAACGAAGGAGGGGCACCTGGGGGCTCCGTCGGTACGTCTGACTCTCGACAGCCGTTCGGGGCTGGTCACGGTCTCGCGGTTCGCGGGATCGAGCCCCGTGCCAGGCTCCGTGCTCACCGTGCAGAGTTTGCTTGGGACCCTCCCTCCCCCTCTCTCTCCGCCCCTCCCCTGCTCGCACACTCTCACGCTCTCGCCCAAAAATAAACGTTTTTAAAAATAAAAACAAAACAAGAGGGGACCTTGCCGGGTCGTCGGTGCCGGTGAGATGCGGAGCCCTCTCTGCCGGCACACGAAGCACGAACAGCACGGGTGAGACCTGGACAGGAAACACAAATCTGGTTTGTGACTCCCGGGAGGGCGTGTCAGGGTCCCTTTCCGCCACCCGCCTGAAATTTCTGGAAGGTGGGTCTGCCAGGGCACCGGAGGCACAACCCGCCCCCGCCCCCGCCCCCCGCCCTGCACCCGTCCCAGCCCCACACCCACCGGGGACACATGGTGCCTGCGGGTGGGGGGCACGTGTGGCTCCTTCACCCCAGGCTCCCTGGAAGCTGTGTGAATCTTTCTGGAGGACCCCAGCCCCAGCAGTTCTCGGCTGCGTGAGTCACAAGTCCTTCTGAAGGGAGAGGGAAGGAAGGAGAAAACAGAATGAATTCTGATTCTAGGTCGACAGCGAGTGGAGCCGGTCCCAGGGGAGTGCCCGCCGGCTTCTTCCTCCCGTGATGAGCTTGGCGGAGGGGGGGAGACCCTTGAGGTCTTGTCCTGCTCCTCAAAGGGGCCGGTGGGTGATGTCCCCTCTGCTGTGGCCTCGGATGTGACACCCTCTCTGGGTCTGTGTGGGCCTGGCATTTCCCGGTTAAGAACATGAGGTCCAGGAGGGGGTGGAGGGGGTCCCTCCAGCCACCACTTTGTTGGACCCCACCCCCAAATCTGCATTGGATGTGACCAACCGCAGGGTCCTCGCTGCTTCCTGGACAAGCGGGGTCTGACTCGCCGGGACACCCAGGCTGGTCATGGGGGCGCCTCCTTCCTGGCACCAGCAGCCGTGCTGAGACACCCACACGGCTCAGCTCATCAGTGGGGCCCTGAGCTCCGGGCACTGGACGCCCCACCTTGGGTGTCCAGCCCACTGTACCTCCAGAGAGCAGCCGTGGTCCCCGGGCGTTAGCAGGTGCCTAGGTGAGAGCGGCCGGTGAGAGGGGGACAGACCGTGGCTCTAAGTCACCAACCCCTGAAACTGCCTGTGTGTCCCCGCGAGGGGTGCACGTGTGGAGCCCCTCCTCTGATGACCTGGGACCAAGGGGAGGGTGTGGTGCCGGCTCGAAGGCACAAATCCTTTCCTGCCCTAGGTTTCAACTCACTAATAAGAAGCTGGTGCTCACGGGGCCACTTTGGCTCAGAGGTGCGTTTGTATTCATTTGCGTGGTGGTTTTTTAAAACATTTGAATTAATTACCAGTGTTTAAAAATCAAGGTCTTTCTCGTCGCAGTGGGACTCTAACTTCTCTGTAAACATGTGGCACCTAGCCACAATCGGCAGACTGGAGGGGTGGGAAAGGACCCCTGTTAGCCACAGTCCCCACCCGGCCCTTGTGTCTGGTCTGCCGGCCTCGCAGGCTTTGAGGTTCATGGTCTCAGGGGTCGTGGTCTCCGAGCTGAGGGAGTAACTGTGGCCAGCCCACACAATTGTCCATCATTTGCTGTGGACTAAGGCTTGGACCTCCCAGCCGGGTCCAAGGACACGGGTAAAAAAAGCATTAAACGCGTGTGATGGGCACAGATGGGCGAGGGGGTGGGGGGCCCTCACACAGCTCCAGGGAGGGGAGTGGTCACCTGGTTTGTTAATCCCGATGTCGTGAGCTGGGACTTTCTGAGCCCAGGATGTGCCGGGCATTGTGTGAACCCCCAGGCACCTGTCAGGGAGGCCTGGTCAGGGGCCAGCATCCCTCCTGGGGCAGGGGAGGGCTGGGCCTCTGCCCAAGGCCACACAGCCAGCAAGCGTGCGCCCTGCATCCCAGTGGCCGGGGTCCTGCTCCTTGCTCCCGCGTGATGTGTGCACATGTGTGCGTCCCACAAGAGGGTCCGGTGGGCACCCCTCATTCTTTTCTAGAATGGCACTGTCCTCTGTGATTCACACAGGGTGATGGGTGACGATGCAGAGGGACCTTTCTGGGTCTCGTGCTGTGCCCGGGGCAGGCCTGTGTGGCTCCCTGCGGGGTCTCCAGGAGAAGGTGCCGAGGGAGGGCGGTGGGGTGACAGTGGCACTGGGCCCTGCCCTGGGCCTGGGGCCCCGTGCAGGAACGTCCTCCGTGTGGTCGGGGGCAGGGGCTCGTGCACCGGCTCTGGAATGTAACCCGACCCTCCTGGAAATGTATTTGAAGTTGTCTCCTTGGCAACTTGGATTTTTTTCCCCTTTTCCTCTGTGATCAACCCAGTCCGGTAGGTCCTGGTGGGATCCCAGGGTTCACGGGAATCGAGGCTCTCGGCCTGAAATGCAGCTTCCTGGGTGTTTGCTACACGGCCAGAGGCGGCCCGCTGGCTACAGCTGCCACACCTGGGTCAAGCCTGCCAGCCTCGCTCCCCCACAGCACCCAGCGAGCTGCCTGGTGGCTCCCTGGTCTGAGTGGTGCCTCGGGTGGGGAAGCCAGCCTCCATCTGACCCGAGCCGACCCGGACTGTCGTGAGATGAAGCAGGAGAAGGTAGTGTTACTCGTGTGTTTTGTTGGGTCGGCTGTTCTCCCTCCGATGGCTGTTCCGTTGGTTGGAGACTTCTGGAAACCCCAGTGACCATCCTGTGGCCGATGTTTCCTTATGAGAAGAGACCCCCCCCACCCC